AATTATAAATAAGAAATGACGACAAGAAAGTTTTGATTAGGTTTTAGCGGTAATTCAAAACCTGTCTCATACTTAGGAAAGTTGTCTTCATACCAACCAACCTACACATCTCTACAAGGAGATACAAGAAATCAGACAAATTTGTTAAAGGGACTGTGAGCGTAATTTTAAGTGACCCTTCATGCAAAGATGGCAATGCCTGATTCACCTATCTGGTCAAGAATGAATTAGATATCAAACTTTATAATTTTGAAAAAATTTATTATTTTCAATTGTGATTTCTCTCTAAAAGTCACTTGCATAATTATCAGAATAAAATTCTTCAGGCCTAGATAAACGATTATATTTTCTATAACATTATTGATTAGATTAATTATTAACAGATTAAGGTTGAAAATCGGCCATTGCCATCTTTTGATGAAAGGTCACTAGACACTACCCCTTAAAGTTGCTTTCATCCTTGCCATTTTAATATAGAACTAAATTATCTTGAATAATGATAATACGAATGATTTGCCTGCATAATTACAAAGTTTTAATTTACGCCCTGCGGAAAATATATTTTCAGATTCGTTGAGTAAAAGTTGAATTGCATGATAGCAGGTCAATTATCTGCCTTAGCTTGAAATATACAATTGCAAAGTATAAACTGCAAAATACTAGTTTAACAGTGGGAAACCTACAAAATGGAAAAATTAATACAAAAATAAAAAGGATGATTGTTAAAAAATCGAGATAAAATTTGATAATCAATTCTTTGAAAAATGTTTAAAATTTAAATATGGAATTTTGAAAATTTCTAGATTTTGTTCAAATTCTGATTTATTTTTATTTAACGGAATATTTGGTTATTTAAAAAATGTAATTAAATTTTTTGTTAATATTGCAGAAAAAATGTTGAAATTAAAATTAAGACTTTAAATTGAAAACCTTTAAATATCAGTCCCAATTTTATGATTCCAGGAAAATGAATAAACCGATTTGGCCCAATTTTATGATTCCAGGAAAATGAATGAACCGATCAGGCCCAATTTTATGATTCCAGGAAAATGAATAAACCGATTTGGCCCAATTTTATGATTCCAGGAAAATAAATGAACCGATCAGGCCCAATTTTATGATTCCAGGAAAATTAATAAACCGATTTGGCCCATTTTTATGATTCCAGGAAAATGAATAAACAGATTTGGCCCAATTTTATGATTCCAGGAAAATGAATGAACCGATCAGGCCTAATTTTATGAATCCAGGCAAATGAATAAACCGATTAGACCCAATTTTATGATTCCAGGAAAATGAATGAACAAATTAGGCCCAATTTTATGATTCCAGGAAAATGAATGAACCGATTAGGCCCAATTTTTTAAACACAGATAAATCTGCAATATTATCGATTGCATACCGTCTCATTGCACATGAAAAATGTTTAAACAACAAAAATTACAAGAGTGAAACCGAAGCTTCTTAAAAGCCAGACTTCAAGGGCCTACAACTTTTCAGCAATGATTGTAAATTTTCATTGTAATTTACAAAAATTTAGTATTTCTCTTTGTAAAATATTTTCACTTTCTGTATAAAAAACTATGAAGAATGAAAATTATATATACATAATTAAAAAATGATATCTCTGATGTTTGGCGTGTTTATAAAAAAATTGAAAAAAAATATTTCGACAAATATTTTCAGATGACGAAAAAGTTTTTTTTATCAGTTTCTCAAAAATCAGGAAGTTTTGGCTATTTTACTGTATTATGAAATACCAGTTCCAGTACGGGCACCCTCCCTATTGATAAAATTATCATTTATTATAAAAATCTACCCTTTAGATGACGTTTTCTTATATGCGTCGAGAAGTTAGAAGGTGGTAATCACAAAATTGATATTCATAGAGGCAAAAACTTAGGCTTTTCATGGTTAAGTAGTATTTTCAAAATTTCAAATTTAGGGTCAGATGAATTTAATCGTTGCAACATTTTTTATGGACTAACCAACAATCAACCCAACAGACAAAGGAACTGAATACTTGTCTCAAACTTTGATTTCTAATCCTTATATATTAGCAACCTGATGTCATATTTCATATTTCAAACTATAAATTCTTTAAAATATCAAAATGTCAAAATGTCACAGTTTTACGCAATTCGATTACAGAAATATAGGGATTTAAAAAATTAATAAAAAAATAATAAATGCATAAAAGACTGAAATAATATTCTGACTATAAATATAGCACTTTAATTGAAGAACATTTGATCTGTTTTTATTGTTGGAAAGTGTAACTGTTTACACAACTGCCGTTGTATTTAAATGATGATGTTTATACATTTAAGATCTTAATTCTTATTTTATTCATTTTCAGCCAAATAGAGAATATTGAGGCAATAAACCGGTAGTAAACAATGTTTACTATGAAGAGTATATTTGAAATATTCCTTTTATCAACTGTTTGCTCAAAATCTAACATGAANTATATTTGATTTTACTCTATACACACAAAACCTAACTTTTATCAGACAACAAAATTCATCGACTTTTCCTAGGGGCAAAAATTTTCTAATTCGTAAGTTAATTTAAAGCATAAACTCTCATTTATATTAATATTTTTTTCAAATTCTTCCATTAAAACATAAATACCATTTTTTAGTCATTTGAGATTTTTATATTGGATTTCCCCAGTATTATTATGTGATATAGAAAGTATGATTGCTACTTAATACAGATATTTTATTATTTTGGCTTCAAAAGGGTAAAAAAAGTAAAATTATTTGTTTGAAATCCAATCCAATTTTTAGGCTTTAAACAAATTTAATTATGTTTTTACTTATACACCCTTATCAAATATCATGACGTTATGTTTGCGGAGATTTACACAAAATTACTCACAAAAAATGAGATTTTAATAAAACCTGAAACTTTTAAGCTTTGAAAGTTCAAAAATCAAATTTTCTAACTTTCGTTTGAAATATCACAGGTTTACACCGCTAGTTGCAAAAATATTGGGATTAGAAAAGTTTAGTTTGTGGAAAGAACTCAGTTTCTTTTACAACTGCATTGCAACTATATTATAAAAGGTTTAAAGGAACGAATTTAATGAATTTGAGCCAGGTCTAGAGGCGGTTCAACCACTTATCTTGAATCGGATTTGTTTAATTAAGTATTTTAATCGACAGTAGTTAAGTTCAGCACCATAGCTCAAATTCATTAAATTGGGTTCCTGTTGTCTTATTCTTTGAGATTCCCCTTGTAATTTTCAATGAACTGGTTAGTTCTGGTTTCCTAGTACTAAGAATTGAGGAAGAGAGACAGTATTCTGCATCTGAACTGATTTAGCGCCATCATTCCATTTGTAGCGTAGATCTGTCATGGTGTAACCAAAACTCTCTATCTCAACAGTACATGTTTGGGAATCCATTGGGAAGTTGGAAAGGTCCATCGGACAGGTGGCCTTGATAGTCAGTCTCATGCTTCTCAAGATGTCTCCCGTAGACATTATTCTAAGAAATTGATTCTCTGTTGTCGCTTGATGGAAAAGTGCCACTTTTTCATTAACAAAGAATGTGTCCGGAACCCAGATTAACTTTATATACTCTGCTCCAACTACCAACTTATCTAGATTAGGTCTTGCTTCAAAACTAAGTCTATGATCTTGCCAAAATTGTCTAAAATACATATCGAAGGTGAAGTCCATGAACTTCTCTGAAAGATCTTCGATCGAGAGGATGAAAAGAGTAACTCCTACAGTAACCGGTTCTCCTCCATAATTGGGCCGCACCCTCCTGTCATATCCAACCTGGAAGGAGTTCAAGATGGCAGAGATGTTCGCTCCCGCACCACTTGAACCCTCAACCAGTCCTGTAGTTGACATACAGCAACAGAGAATAAGAATGACCCCTATAGGGCATCCTTCAACCATTGTGCTGGTATTACTGTTCAGATTGAGCGCGTAAACATATTCTACAACTCCCAAGTTTACTTCACAATGTTACGATAAAGGCCCTTGACTACCATACTGGGCATCAACGCCACTACCGGCCGTGTTGGCTTTAGAGACTGGAATTCATCTGTTGCATTCTGAAACTGAGGCCGTGTGTACGGATCCTCTCCCAACTGAGGTCTGTCCTCTACTAGTGCTCCCATATACTCACACAGCGGTTCCAACCCGGTTTTGGACAGACTTTCCTTTTTTAAAGAGGCTGGAGGGAGGAGTAGGAGGAGGAGGATAGAGAAGAATTTAGGGTTGGAGGAGAGAGGGGTGAACCTGAGCTCTATGCATCTCTAACCCAACCTTAATATACTTGGATATCTATATATTTTAATATTACATTTATTCTAAAACATTTTCATTTTATTTCCATTATATATATTGTTATATTTGGTTTAGAAAACTTAGACAGAGATTGTTTGATAGTTTTAAATGAGAGCACTTTAAATCTTACGTACAGAAAATGTAGACATAATTCTAAGTGACCCTCCAGTGACCCTCCATTTATGAAGTGGCATGATCAGTTCACAACTATGGCGGTTCTCTGTGAAAGTGTGTAGAAGAGAAAAGGGAGGAAATTGTGAGATAAATCTTTTAAAGAACTGTTCGCAGAAATGTGATCAGGGAGAAGGCAACCCTGGAAAGTTGTGTCTACTATCATCCATTTATTTGATATAACTGTTAAAATTCAAATTCAAAAAATGAAATATCTTCTTTCACATTTATGCTTTAATTGAAGAAAGATATAAAGTGTAACAAAATACTTTAACAGTCCCTTATATTTTAACCCTATTCCGACTGAGGGGGCGGACAGTGACCTCCCCCCCCCATCGTTTTTTTGAGATAACTCAAAAAGTAACGGTCTGAAGCTTTTCAAAGTTGTTGACTTTAGTCTTTACTGCCTGAATGCCTTATTTTACCATTACCAGACTAAATCTAAATTTAGACCTACTTCCAGTCATTAAATTTCAACATTGTATTTGTATAGCTCTTTGGAAAACCTTTAACACAAGAAAGCAGACTGCAAACAAATTTTGCGTAGATTTTTGCACAGACGCCTTTCAAAGAGAATTTGCACATTTTTTGTTTTTCTTGAATAAACATTTAGGTTTTGTGAATTTTGCAAATATATTGCTGAATAAATATATTTCGCAATAGAAAGTTGGACATTTGAATTATTTGGAAAAATTATAGAATTAAATTTAAATAACATTTAACTTTAACTTATTCTATACAGGTGGATCCGCTGCGGCTAGACTGACCCTCGACAAACTCACAATTTTTAATTTTTTTAAGAAACATCATTTAAACCAAGGCTATCATAGGAGTAATGGACTGGGGCTGGCTCTTTTCTTTTTTATATATAAATCCAATTGAAGTTTTGAGTGCACCAAACCTAGGTTGATCATTGTAGGAAAGTAATGGAGTTTTCTCGAGTTTAAGGGTGAAGGGGGTTGTGAGCCATGAAGAGTCAGGAGCTACCGACCATAGTAGCGTTGAATGGGATGTAGTGTTCGATTGGATCCTGTCCGTTATAAGGACTTTGTCCTAGATTCTATGTACTTTTTAGTCATAGTTTTTATTTAAAATTTGCAATTTTTTTCGCAAAACTTGTGCAATTCGTTTCCTTATGTCAAATTGGCTTTCCAAAAAGCTAAATTTTATCAAAATCTGGGTAGTGGAAGTGGGTCAAAACAAAGATTTTGTTTGTTACATGAAAAAGCAGTCATTCAGGCAGTGTGCCTGAGCACTCAGTGATTTAGTATTAAAGCCCGGTTTTAGGCCTAAAGGGAGGGCTTTGGGTATGTAGGAAATGTCAGAAAATTTCAACAGCCTCAGATCAGTACTTTTTGGGTTATGTAAAAAAACTACAGGGGGGGGGTCAAATAGACCTCCCCCCCCAGCAGCAGGAATAGGATTAAGCAAAATAAACGACAGTATCTTTCACATTTTCGATCAGATTTAGGTTTAAAGGGTACCACTGCGAATTGGACATTCGCATCTTTTATGTTTTCCCTTTCATTTGTTAAATTATTTGTACATGAAACGTAATTATTTGAAATTTACAATTTGGGATATTGATTGAGATTCATTACTTGAATTATTCCGATGTTGATGAAAAAGTTTTAGTTGAACTTGAATGTATGGTATAGATACTATACAAGGTGTGTTGGGTTGAATTCAATATAACTTTGTGCTACTAGTTTTATGAATTTAGCATTGGTATTCATCTGCATATATACTTATATATATATAGATATACAGATATACATGAACATCGGTATTCTTCTGCATATACATATACAGTATATATATATATATACAGATAAACTTTACAGATACTTATATACAAATACATATATCCAGATACATGTCTGTAGACAATTAGACACTACTAATTACTGCAGAGCTCACCGAAAGCTTAGTTGATGGTGACATATATACAATTATATTTTAGTTTAGGTCTTGTTGAGCACACAAATTAACCAACTGTCTGTTAGTCTTATCAATCTAAGGTTTGTTTCTTCAAAACTAAGAATTTTACTTTTACTTTTACTTCTAAAGAAACCAACTACTATTTTTAGAAAAAATCATATTATGACGCACTACTTTTTCAGAGCAAACACTTTTAAATAAAAATCGAAAAAAGCTAGAGCCGGGGAGAAAAAAAAATCTCATTACTTTTTTATTCAATTTATATATGTATTACAATAATTGTCTAGCAGTTTCGAAACCTGCTTATGACCAAAATCAGTTTAATTTGTGAATATTGATTATTTAAAGCGATTATTATACGTTTAAGGTAGTATCCCATAGGTTTGTAGAATGCTACTTCTAAATAATCTTTATATATGTATAATGTAGTATTCCATAGATCTGATGAATGCTACATCTGTATAACCTGTATAATACAGTATCCCATTGATTTAACGAATGCTACATCTGTATAACCAGTATAATGTAGTATCCTATTGATCTGACAAATACTACATCTTTATAACCTATGTAATGTATTACCTCATTGATCCGACGAATGCTACATCTGTATAACCTATATAATGTATTACCTCATTGATCCGACGAATGCTACATCTGTATAACCTGTATAATGTAGTATTCCATTAATCTGACGAATGCAGCATCTGTTTAACCTGTATAATGTAGTATCCCATTGATCTGACGAATGCTACATCTGTATAACCTGTATAATGTAGTATCCCATTACTCTGACGAATGCTACATCTGTATAACCTGTATAATGTAGTATCCCATTGATCTGACGAATGCAGCATCTGTATTACCTGTATAATGTAGTATCCCATTGATCTGACGAATGCAGCATCTGTATAACCTGTATAATGTAGTGTCCCATAGATTTGACGATTGCTACATCTGTATAACCTGTATAATGTAGTATCCCATTGCTACATCTGTATAACCTGTATAATGTAGTATCCCATTGATGTGACGAATGCTACATCTGTATAACCTGTATAATGTAGTATCACATTGGTCTGACGAATGCTACATCTGTATAACCTGTATAATGTAGTATCCCATTGGTCTGACGAATGCTACATCTGTATGCTACAGAGGTTTGGTCCATCACCATCACTGAATTTTAAATTAACCTGTATAATGTAGTATCCCATTGGTCTGACGAATGCTACATCTGTATAACCTGTATAATGTAGTATCCCATTGATCTGACGAGTGCTACATCTGTATAACCTGTATAATGTAGTATCCCATAGATCTGACGAATGCTACATCTGCGAGAAGCCGTGAATAGTTCCCAGAACTGAGACTCGCTTCTATAATTCTCTGTTTGTGTCCTAAACCAAACCAAACCAATCTTCATTTTGAAAACTAAAATTTTTGCTGCATTTTTCTCGGCTCGTAAATAAAACTATCACGTCAAACTTTTTGAGGAATGTTAAAATAGTGAGAATCTAGAAAATGCATAGATTACGGTGGCAATTATTCTCTAAATGGCGAGCAATAATAAAAACATCTGCCTTTATTTAGGAATAATTGATAGTTAAGATATCAATTAATTTTTGTAAATAATCTGACTTTTAAAAAAGAATTTGTGCTAACGCTTGTTTATGCTTTAACCCACCGACGGTTTCCTGGGGGGTGAGACAACCCCCCCGCCTTCCTCCCTTCCAAAGACTTCCTTCCCCCCCCCCCTTTCTTTTAGGATTAAAAATCTAATTTATAGATACTTTTTTATGTTCATGGATTTCCCAAAAAAATGACTGTACGTACAAGATCAAAAAATGTTTATACTTTGCTAGTTTAAAACCAAATCTGAATAATTTTGAAACATCAGAACTATTTGTATACGAAATGCTTAAAAGCATCTAAACTTTCTAAATATTTTTTATTTGCTTTTATATATTTTCGCCAAGTTTTAAAACCGGAACTTTGAAGAGAAACAAGTTCTTGAGAAAATTGAACCTTCCAAAGAGAACTATTTAATTTTCAGAAAGATTTTTTGTCAAAACATCCGGGGTTAGTTTTAAACTTAAAGGGATCTATAGAAATTGAACTATTTTGTGTAAACCAGACGTCAGTCGGAATACGGTTAACAAAATAAATTTTTTTAAATTTTAATTATTATGATGAACTTGAGGGAATAATATGGTTGGTTGAAAATCTCGAGTTTTTGCAACAAAAATAAAAGAAATTGATTAAAGAAAACTTGGAGTTGATTGACATACAATAATTGGGTTTAGCTAAAAACCTCCTGGATAAAATAAATTGATATAAATAAAATTTTATTTTCTGTTCCAACAAAATTAGTTAAATGCCTTAAATTAAAAATGTTTTTGTTTATGCTTTGTGCCTTATTTTTAAAAAAGAAAACACACTTAAGAGGGTTAAGAAAGAGCTTTGAAAGATTTTTTTTTTCAATTTATACAATAGAAGCAATAGAAGAAGAAAGAGACAATTCTATATTTACACAATGCTGTCTCTATTATGTTTTAATAACACAAACCGCAATTATACAATGTTATCCTTACTTTACATTCCCCC